GAGAATATAATTCGAGAAAATGGTCGCTATTTTATTATCACTTTAATAAAGGAAATACGCCAACGCCTCCCTACAAATATTGCCAAACTAAAAAAAATGACTTTTTTCGGTTGGAAATGCATTAAGAGTAATTAACCCAAAAGTATTTGTTCAACTACAGCAACAAAAACACAAATATAATGCCGACAAAAAAACATCCATAGAGATGCAATGGCAACGGTTAACGTTACATACCTGGAGTAATTTAGACTCAACTGTAAAATTTTGGGCCGAAGTTTATCAATTTCGAAATGCCCTAGGAGAAAACCCTTTTGCTGACCTTTGCAACCTAGTTTTCTTGTTTTCCCTATAAGTAATGCAGAAGTAGAGCGAATATTTAGTTCAATGAATATAATAAAAACTAAGCAAAGAAATCCAATGTGCGTTAGAACGGTAAACGCTATTTTATATATAAGATACGGTTTAAAACGTGAAGAAAAATGCTGCCATAATTTTACTGTAGATGACGATCTCTTAAAATTAATGAATTCAGGTGATATATACAATAGTGATTCATTTGATGATGAGGAATATACACTCGATATAAATTAATAGTGTTAACTAGTCTTTCGTTTCTTGCGATTTATTTAAATAAAGCATGTGGATTTTCACTAAAACATTTTAGCCGTTTTTTGCCAGAGTCTATGTGAAATTTCACTAAAACATTTTAGCCGTTTTTAGCCGCTTTTTTTTGCCAATCTAGCCGGTCGGCCCAAAAAGTTCTGGCAACACTGCAGATAATCTTATAAGTTTATGCACTCTGTTACATGAACGACCCACACTCTCTTTTCGTTTACACATGCGACAATAGTCGTGTTTTCTTTGCTTATAAAGCGCAGTGTCACTAACTTTATACTACTAGCACGGGGATAAAGAAATTATAGAAACTACCTCACTAAATTGGAAAAAATTATATTTACGAGATATCTATTTAAATAAATGTACATATAACATAAAGGTTATTTATTTGAAGCAAGTTATAAGAAACAATGGCAGAATGTCTGTTTGTGTATGAATTCATTTGTCACGGCTACCAAACTTTGCGAATTATCAGTTATCAAAACAAACAGACGGGATAATAATTGAACCAGATCTCTATCAGGATCATATCGTTGTTGAATTTGCGTGCAAAATTTGTATGCGGATCCCGATTATTGCCTAAGAAAACATAGCTAGAGTTGCGACAGAGTTGCATTGTCTTCAGTTTATCAAGTTTATTCAGTGAAATCGCTGGATAAATTTATCAGAAATGTGTAAACGAGTTTCCATACAAATTTTGACAGTTCATTTATAAGGTTTACACAATTATAAGTTTATACGGTTTACAATGCATTTATAAGGTTTGATAAATACCCTTAATATTCTTACCGACTATGCAAAAAAAAAAAACTAGTATCTATTAGTTAAAATTATTCGAACTCGTCTTCTCTTTTCTGTTCGTATTCGCTCTTGCATTCTTCTTCGTGTTCGTACTCGTCTTCCTACTCGTGTTCGTAACTGCCTTTGTACTTGTGTTCGTCTTATTACTCTTCGAATTCGTCTTCGGTTGTTCTTCGTATTGTTTTTCTTATTGCACAGAATACAATTTACTAAAGGGTTTTTGGGGAATGATGCTGTATTAACAGTCCTTGGTCCCCTCCGATAACGTTGACCTGACTTTCGCTTTGAATTCAAACTAGGCCCGAATCGTAACATTCGTTTTTGGATCGAAAACCATACGAAAGAAAATTACGTGATACGTCAGTCGTATAAGCTAAATGGGATAAAGAGTAGGTTCACGTGTCTATGTCATAATCCGAAAAATGTGTTTTTACGTGACGAGTAATACGATATCGTATGTGACGATTCGAGCCCTGAATGTGGTTGAAATTTACTCGGAGGTGAATTGAAGAACCTGTCTGTACTTCTACTTCCGGATGTGTTTTTCGAGTTGTGGCTCTTTTGAAGAGGCTGTGCGATATCTATTTTTTCGAGGCGGTTTATAGAGTTCTGTAATATGTTAGCGATATAAAAAAACTCCACGCTTCCAAAGAACATTTGAAAAACAATCTTGAGAACTTAGTCAGAGTTTAGAGACTTTCAGGGGATTTCGAAGCATGTTTTATGAAAAATTGCAGAACTTTTTAAGAATGAAGATTAGGGACCTATGAAATCTTTATTCAAACGGCGCTACGAAAAGAAAGTCTTCAAGACCACAACTTATACCAGAAGTTGCAAACCCCTGGTTGTTGCCTTGAAATGCGTGTAGTATATACACAAAAGTGCCACCACAACGAATCTCCATCGACGCTACACCCTCAGCCTAAGCAACACACTATCACTGATTGTGTAAAGCTGAATTAGTCAAGAACGTAAACCTACCGGTACGTAAACCCGAGTCAGCTGACACGATCTGTCTTACCAAAGCGCCATGTAAATGAAAACTCAACACCGCAGAATTTTTCTGTAGTTGTAGCCAGTGTTGCCAGAACTTTTTGGCCGAACCGGCTAAATTGGCAAATAAAACCGGCTAAAAACGGCTAAAATGTTTCAACTTAATTTCACATGTTTTATTTAACTAAATCACGGGTAAAAACACTATTTCTTGGAGAGAAGTTACAAATTCGAGCCGGAAAAAATTTTGCCAACAAGAATTTTCAATTAAGAAAAACATATGATTGTGGCACATGGTTGGATTTTTTGTCGACGATAATTTGAATAAACAAGTTCGTTAAATTTCTTTTGTTTGAAATGCAACCGTGGACACTAGCTGGCAGAAAAACTTACAAATTTACGTTCGTACAGAAATTTGCAAGTTTCTCTACATGAGAGAGAATTTGGGAGCATTTTTTCTTACTATCTGATATCTTGAGTGATAATTCTCGCTAGATTTTCGACGAACAAACCTATTGTCTTCCCTAGAAGGCCCTTTCAGAATGACCGATTCTCAATACACTCAAATAGAAACCAGTACACATAAAAAACGCTGTAAAAATTTTCCTTCAATTTTAAGGCAGTAAAACAACGACCTTAAGCTAACATCAACCGAGGCCATATGTTGACAAGGGATGCAAAATCACAGTTACATAAAAGAACTGGTCAGATCTTTCAGAAATCCCTTCAATTCTGATGTAAAATATGATGCCAAAAGACTGCAGATCACCCATTTAGATGACCAGTCATATGACCGGCAGATATCTCGTAAGATTCCCAGAGAGTTTTGCATACATAGAAATTACATAGAAATTTGTGCTCTTTTATTTTCATTTTGACTCACTTCAGTGTTGGTTCCTTTAATTCAAGTTGGCATTCGGTTTTTGGAATTTAAATAAGTCCTCAGCAAGAAAGTTTGTTTAAAAAAAATACATATGTGTACATAGTGCTTGAAAATATCAATTTTTCCCTTACCTTAAACCTTTGGGAGTGGGCAAAAATGATGTTTTGTAATTTAGGCAGAATTGAATATGCGCTATCTGGGAAGACAATATCTACATATAATATTTATTCTGCTTATTGGCACTATATCCAAACACAAACGCATCTTAAGTGTCTTAACAGTGAAGCAATTTCTTATTTTCTAAGTTTGCAAATAAAACTTCACACTTAAAATTAAGACATTTATAACAAACATTTTATGAAGAAAATCCCTTCTTCGTTTAAAATAAAAATAAGCGAAATCAGCACAATTTCATACAACCCTGCCTGAGATGAAAATTTTCTCCACGATAGGGCTAGTAGCCATTTCTAACATATTTTGGGTCGCTTAGTCAAAAAGGGAAACATATATACATATTTAAAATTTAAGAAAACAAGGCAAATAGCAAAATCGGCTAAAAACGGCTAATTTTTTTCTGCAAACCGGCTAACAAATCGGCTGCCGGCTAAATCGAAATTTCTCCGGCTGTTTGCTATCGCAACCGGCTAAATCTAGCCGGAAAACGGCTAAAATGGCAACACTGGTTGTAGCCCGTAGCGCAGAAACATGCGGAATTTAGATTTTTCCGTGTCAGCTGATTTCTCCTTCTTTAGATGGTTGCCACTTCGTCAGTTTTGCAGATGGTAAAAAAGTTATAAGTTCCTATTCAAAATTTGTTTAAAATATGTGAAATTTACTATTGAATAAGGTTTTTGTTGAAAACTAAGTAGTTTATATTTAGCTACAATCTATTATTGCACGAAAAATTGTGGTTGAAAGGGTAAGTTTATGAAAAGGTATTGAAGAGTGGCAACAGTGTAGTAAGCAACACTGAGGGCTCCAGTAATCGACAAAATTCTGCGTATGCAGACTGCGTTTAAGTATACGTTCTGCGTTCTCGACTAATTTCAGCTTAAATCTTTGTTGAATTATTTGGATGATTTTCGTAGCGCACCCAACGAACAGTAATACCAACAACAAGCCAATCAGCAACCCTCCAACCGACCACCCGTCCGAACACCTACCGAAGCCACATAAGACACTGATTCATATACCGGCTCATGGCCGCAACGATTCACCACTCGACGCATCGACAGTCCCACCAACCAGCCATCCAACCCATCGTCTAGACAACAGTCGAACTAACCAATTGCGGCATACTGTCAACTAGGCGAATGAACGCACCCCAAAAGCATCACGACCCCGCACCGCACCCAACGCCCTTACAACCCATGGAATGTTCGCTCAAAGATAGAAGCAATTTTCAAATTTACCGCCAAACGGCACTTAACTGAGCTGTGCGGAGACTGTACTCATGGAACCCAAGCAGCATTTGTATGGAAATACTCAAGAAACCCTCTAAATACGTCATTAGCGATTTGGCGTTTGTTTAAGGATTTTTTAGCATATTTTTAAAAAATCAAATACTTTTTTCGCTAAACATTGATATAGATTTTGGATCGGTTCGAGTAAGGATTTTGGAAATAAAAATCTACAAAGTTATAGTAAGCATTGGTTCACGCATTATGCGGACCCATCAATGTTGAACTCATCAACTTTGCTGTGGAGTAGACGCTTTCAGTCGCATACAGACGCTCAACGAGTACACATCTCGGTGGTTGAAAATACCCAGAAATCCAAACGCTTTCAATATTATATAGCAAAAATAATATACAAGCAGCAACAGCTAAAGCCTCAGCTACAGCTACTACCGAAGCGCTTTTTCTGTTGAAAACTGCCAGCCAGCCAGCTTGATTGTATAGTCGGCAGCCACAGTGTGCACATTTGCGTAGCAAACAACAACATAAAGTATCTATAATCTACCTACCTATAGCAAGCTAGCAGTCAACCGCCTGCTTGACTGCCCACTTTGACGTTAGAGCGATAGAGAAGACAAGGGTCATTTAACGTATTGTCTTCGTCCTCGTTGTCGCACCGAAGTTGTTTAGTCTAGATAGTACGCCTTCGGCCGACTACGAGCGTTTGTTTAGTTGTTTGTGTGTCCCACTGTAGATACAGATACAAAGTATCTGTGAACTGAACAGAACAACCCAGCACAGAACCAACGCTGAATTAACATTCAGAAGTTAAATACACACCGCAATCGACAGTCTCGAACAGTGTGTCTGTGTGCTTCGTGCTGAGTGGATCGTTATCGATAGTTGTACGCGTCTTGTGTTAAAGCAAATAAAATAAATTTGAAAAATTACAATTTATACATAAAAATAACCGCGAACGCATTTATATAATTTATAAAAAAAAAGTTATTTAATTTAACAAAATACAGAACACATCAAAGAAAATGTCAGCCGCTACAGAACAAAATAATGGTGATGTCGCTGTTGAGAAAGTTGCCGTGGATGCGGCAGCAGCCGTGAAGGAAGATCTCAAAAAGCCTGCCGTCGACGAAAAAGTAGTGGCCGCCGACAATGGTACAGCGTCCAAGGAAGATGCCGATGAGGAGGATGCACCCGATTCCGTCAAAGTAGCCGTCGCCCCCGTCAAGGAACAAGTGAAAGGAACAAAACGGCCTGCTGAAGTAAGTACAATACATATTAAAAAAAAAAATACATAGTAGAAATGAATTAATAGTTCACTGTCAGGTCGCAAAAGGATGAAATTTCTAGGCGTAACGCCAAAAAAGTGCCCACTAAATTATAATTCTCTGGTAGCAGTACAGATTTTCTAAAAAAATGTGCTTTTGTAAAAATTAATTAACGCTGGTAGAGGTTGCGTTTGTTTGCATCTTCAACTAGGCTACTTTTGCATGTTTGTTCGTCAAGTGCCGATACACACACACACACACACTCACATATCTGAGCGATGTCAAAATGTTTAAAGCTCGTCGGCGATTTCAAGCATCCGTTGTTGGTTACCCCAGCAACCGAGGCAATCGGAGATCGTCGTGTCACAAGTAGTTGTCGGCTCGTGTTGATGGAAAATCAAAAATTTTTGATTTTCCATCAACGCGACCGCTTGACAAGCGGTCTGTTTGATAGTGGCGCAAAGCGTTGACAAGCATTAGTGTGTTAGTTTGTTGTGATATGTAAAATGAGTAAGTTCGCGGAAGATAAAGATTTTAGTGGCAAGTAGCAAAAAATCGTCATCCGATGAAGACATGTTTACGTCCGCCCACTACGAAATTTTATTGCAAATGGTGTTGACGCTTTATGCTTGAGTGTCGCCGGGCAAGCTTCAAGCGCCCGAAATTCAACCCGACACTCACACATGTACTCGTTGCTGGGGTAACCAACAACGGATGCTTGAAATCGCCGACGAGCTTAACAGATAACGCAAAGAGGGGCCGAGAACGAGAGCGCGCAAATTGCTAACTTTGACAACACTTTGACAGTCGCACCACAAAAATGTTTCGCGCCTGATTAATTTTTCGTTCTTCTGTTTGGAAGCAATCGCTACATAAACAAAACTTTATCGTGACACGAAAAGAAAGTATTTTGCTTCCATAGGTGATTGACACAAGCATAATATACGCTCTAGAGTACAGTCAGTGCGCTAATAATGTCACAGCCATCTATGAATGTGATTTTGTCATGCGGCGCCAGAAACTCTTCAAAGATCGCCAGTGATCTTTATAAAGTTGTAATATATCGGGTGAAATATATAATTTATACAAGTCGTAATCTTTACGCATACATTTACCAAAAAGTTGGTTTGTGTATTGGTGTCAAATGTGTCTCCTGTCTGATTCATTTAATTTGCGTTTTCATACGTATTTTACGTAGCTACCTTTATGGCGAACAATCGTACACAAACAATGGTACAAGTATATATTACAACAGCACTCATAAATTTTAACATAGCTCAATAAAACGCAGACATTCCAGTATTCGTTTGGCGTATATATGTACATACATAATATCTCGATAAAGCGATTCGAAAGTCTTCTAGAAATAAAAGTAAATTGTGTTCAAGCAATAGGCAATCGAACAGCCAGGAGATGGTCATGCATATACATATGGATTTGCGGCGTTTAAAAGTAAGAGGAAGCAAAATTCGTGTAATCCTGGATATAATGTACTCGTCTCCACATCTAGGCGCGCGCATTTTGGTATCTCTATCATTCTCGAACGCGTGTTTTGCGCGCTCTCACTCAATCCTGCTCATTCTTTTCTACTCCCACTTACTATTTCGATGAGATGGAACTCTCACTTCCGGTCTATAGCATGTCTGTATATTTCCTGCAACTACAATTTACACCCCTTGAGTAGTCAGCGCCTAAATACTTCCGCATTGTTTTTTTTTTTTTTGTTGGTCACACATGTCTTGTATCTTTTAGTTTTAGCGGTCGAATGATGGTCGTATGAGATTTTCTGATTTGCGCAATATGGACGCAACTGCAAGCCTAGACAATGGGGGAGTACACAGATCACACACTGGAGATTGCTGTCCCATTGTTAGAGTCGCCTTAGTGCCATAAGGCTGAATTATTTATTACTGCTTACGTATTAAGTACTAAATATAATAGCACGTACGCTTTAAGTTCTGAACACATTGAAAACGACGAGCTACGGACCACATCTTCCAATTTGTCATCTTTATTATCTAAACGCTTTGTCGATGGCGACATGATTTCTTTGAACGCGGCAGCGACATCATGAATTTGTATGAGTTTGACATAAAAGAAGAGGAAGAACCTTATCTGTCGCCAGAAAAATAGAAATAGATCTAATCTGGCCACAACCACAGCCGTCGCGTAGCCCGGTCGTCGCCAAAATAATTATCTACATAAGAGTACGTGTTAAAATAATTTGACAGCTGTGGTTTGTAGCTCGTCGTTTTCATTGTGTTCGGGCTATTATTTACCACATAAAAATGAGTAGCCAGCCACAGCTCACGGGTATAAAGTGAGATAAGGTAGCTGTTGGAAGTGATACGTCCATATACATATGTATGTATATTAGGGTGGTCCAAAAAAAAGTAAAGTCGGAAATTTAGTGCTCTCACCCCCTAGGATTGTTCTATACCACAAAAAAGTATACCCCTGTTTTTTTTATTTTAAAATCAAAATATATTTAGAGGTCGCTCAAAGCGCTCAAAGTTTCCCATGTATTTTGTATGGGGAAAAAATACTTTTCGTAGAAATGGCATAGAATCCACAAAAATCGAAAATTATCAATTTGAAAACTCTGCTTCTCTTCAGAAGACTTCAGAGAATAATACCCAATTGTTTATTTAAACATTTTTTAATTTTAACTATTTTTTAAGGGTCTCCGAAAAATCCAAAAAAAAATCAAATAGACAAAAAGAAGCGTTCAAAATTATTATTAAAAAATAGTTAAAATTAAAAAATGTTTAAATAAACAATTGGGCATTATTCTCTGAAGTCCTCTGAAGAGAAGCAGAGTTTTCAGATTGAAAAATTTTGATTTTCATGGATTCTATGCCATTTCTACGAAAAGTATTTTTTTCCCCATACAAAATACATGGGAAACTTTGAGCGCTTTGAGCGACCTCTAAATATATTTTGATTTTAAAATAATAAAAAAGGCGTATACTTTTTTCAGTATAGAACAATCCTAGGGGGTGAGAGCATTAAATTTCCGATTTTACTTTTCTCCCATACATTTTTGGACCACCCTAATGTATATACATATATAAAGTAGCCGTGCTTGGTTTAACGCTTGGAGCGTCCGAGCGAAAATCAATAATTTCTCTATATTGACGTGCAGATTGTAGCAGTACGACTAAAGTTCCACCCGCTCCATAAACTCATACATCCACTAGTCCCCACACAGCGGACACATACTTATGCGCGCAAACGCAACACTTGGTACCCTTTTTCCACACTTTCTATTGTTTTTTTTTTTTATTGTTGCTTAAAATGTTTTGCCTTCTTCATTTTCACTATGTAAATGCTAGGTGCGGGCGCTTACGTTAGCCAAGATGATCTACTTATTTACATTGTATGTATGTATACATATGCTTGGATTTATTTCCAGCAAAGTGTTGGTGTTTAGACGCCCAAGTAAGCCATATTTGACAGCATAGCAGCATGATTCAACAACTACAGGTTGTAACAATCGTACAAAAACAACATTTACCGTTGGTATGAACTCCTTGTGTCATCAACATCTTCTTTATCTATTCATATTCGTATGTATATGTATACCCTGCATACCAGGATTTCATAGAATTCTGAAAGGTTTCACAATTTTTTTATATTTTCCTTTAAGAAATCGTACAGAAATTTCTTTACTAGTTCTTGTCAACCGTTTCATATGTTTTTCTTTAAAGATTTATAAAGGAATCGTAACAAATTTCCGACACTCTTAAAGATTTCGGGAGCATTTGTGTGTAGGGTATATATAGACGTATATGTGTATGTATACGCGGAGATGTAAATAAAGCAAAACAGACGATAATTTGACACAAGCGTGCTCATAAGAAGAAGCATAGCTTCTATCGCTATCACCTGGAATTGATGCGCCTTGGCATAGCAGCTAGTAAAGCTTCCATGAACGAAAGACACAAGATCACGCGGGAAGGAAAGAACGAAAAAAGTTATTTTCTAGCTGCCGAAATCTCGACGCCATCTTTGTTGTAAGAAGTAAACAACGAAGAGAACGGAGAAAACCGCAAAATAAATATCATCATGCCGTTGTGTTAAATTATTCTTTATCTTATGTGTACACACGTTGTCACAAGCGAAAATGAAGAAAATTGCAGTAAAAAGCCACCACCAAATTGTAAACAACGAAGAAATGTAAACAAACGGCTATTGTCAAAATCGTTCAACTTTTTTCCTAAATGCGATTCTAACGGGCTAGTCTCCTGCCCGCGTGATCTTGTCTTTTTGGTTCATGTAAAGCTTCTACTTCTTGGGTGGTGTTTTTTCTTTCGCTGCTAAAGAGCTTCTTAAAATCGCTGCATTTAATAAAGCGGCTGGTGCAATGAACGCTTTTTCGATCGCAAATGCAACGCTGCATTCATGTATATTTAAATCGATCGATTGGGACACGTCGGCGCTCGTTTGCAATAGCTGTTTGTTTCTCATTTGCAGTTATAGCTTAGTTAATTTTTTTATTGCGCGCGGTGATTGCATTTTAATTGGGTGTAAATGCGCGCGCAGCTTCCTTAACGTGCATACCGCGTTTTAAAACTATTTGCAACATTTCTGACTTTCTTTTTTCTATACATTTTCGTTATTGTAATACGTATTTCTCACTGCGGCTTCCATTCATTCATTATAGGGATAAGGAGTGCGTCACTAGAAATTGGTGCATCTAAAAAATAGCATATCTCAACAACTACTTCTTCGATTTTCAAAAGGTTTATTATTTACGAAAGAGAATTTAATGTAAATTATAATAATTTTATTTTTATTACAAAAACTAGTTTTGAAGTGTAAAGTTTTTGACTTTTTCTGGAATACCTTCCATTAGAGCCTTAACGGTAACTCTTGCATTTTCTGACTTGCAGCATGCCACTTACGTCGAAAATCTGTAACATCCCTAGATGTCTGTTTTGTCCTCATTAACTCTTTTTTCAATAGAGTCCAATATCTCTCGATTGGCCGAAGTTCTGGGCAATTAGGAGGGTTCGCTTCTCTAGGCACAAAAACGACTGCGT